GTCTTACCTCTATCCTTGGGAAACTCTTTGAGAAGATCCTCAAGGAGCACATCTGTGATGGGCCGGCTTCAGGGATGATGCTCAAGGGCAACCAGAACAGTTTCATTAGGAGCAGGTCATGTCAGACCAACCTGATTGCCTTTTATGATCAGGTCACAAAGGCAGGTGTCACCGTGGACGTAGTCTTCCTAGACTTCAGCGAGGCCTTTGACACCGTCTCCCATACCCCACACACCCCACCATATCTCCACACACACCCACAGCCCCCCACACACTCCCACCCCCTCACCCCACCATACTCCCATATGCTCCCACAGCACCCACACACACTCCCACACCCCACCATATCCATACACAACCCCCACATAACCCCCACCCCAATCACACACCTCAGATCCACACCCCCGCACACCTGAACATGCACCACCCACCCTCCCCCACCATACCCACACACCCACCCACTTCCCAACCACACACTCCCTTACCACCCTCCTACACAATATACAGGAGTAAGACTGTATTTTGAGCTATTATTCAATTGCCTCTATATACACTATGCAAACCAACATGAATCAGAACAAAATATTTTTTAAAATAAAATTAAAATATGATATAGTAGATGTTTTATTTTTTAGTGTATGATTTGTTGGTTTCTGATTCCAAGATGGCAACCTCCCCCTATCCCCTCCCCCACCAAAAGGGGGGTAAGAGGAGGGACTTCAGGTGGCAAAGGTCAGGGGTTAGGGACTGGATTTCCTGTCCCAAGATGGTGACCACTGTGGTATATGGAATGTACCTTTTCTGAGTGGAAAAGATCATGTTCAGGCAGAGGAGTGAGTGTTGCGGCTCTAGAAAGTGAATCAGCCACTAGCATGTCTTTGCCTTTGGTAGGGTAAATCTGGATGTCATATTTTTGGAGCTGCAACAGTGTCTTCTGTAGCCATGCCTGAGCCTGTCCTATTGGCTTTGCAAAAATTGCTTCCAGGGGTTTGTGGTCTGACTGGACCCGTACGTGGGTGCCATGCATATATGGGTGGAACTTTGTCATGGCAAAGACAATTGCCAGAAGTTTTTTTTCAATCTGCACATAATTTCTCTTGGATTGTGTTAGAGCCCTTGAAGCATATGTGATTGGTTGATTCTGCTGAAACAGACATGCTCCTAAGCAGTCTTTCGATGCATCAGCTTGGATTTCCAGCTACTCTGCTGGGTTGTACCTGAGCACAGGTGCTGTTGTGATGGTTTGCTTGAGTTTATCCAGGGCTGCCTGATGCTCGGGTCCCCATTGCCAGATAACGTCATTCCTGAGAAGCGCACTCAGTGGGGCCGTCAGGCTTGACTCGTGGAATGTATTGTTCCAAGTACTGGATGGTTTGGAGGAGTCTCTGAAGGCCTTTTTGTCGTGTTGATGGTTTCCATTTTGTCATTGTCTGGTTTGACACCATCTTTTGAGAAGATATGGCCCATATACCAAATGCCGTCAACTGAAAGCTGTATTTTGTCCTTATTAAAAACTTTACTCCTTTCAGATGTGCTCTCTCCAGGACCTGTTTAAGGATAGCGTCATGCTCCTCTTTGGTAGCCACTGCAATGAGCATGTCATTCGCGATTATGTGGAGTCCTGGAATGTCACCAAAACACCCATAATTTTTCTGCTGGAATACTTTGCTAGCCAACTTAACACCAAAGGGAAAACGATTGAAGTGGTACCACCCTCATGGGGTGTTAAAGGTACACAGCTATGCTGATTCCTTGTCCAATTTGAGTTGCCAGTAGCTGTCCTTTTCACCAAGCATGGTGAACAGCTTCTTACCTGACAAGCTTTTCTGCACATCTTCTACAGTGGGAACAAAAAGTGCTGCCTCAACACTGCCTTGTTGAAGTCCGGTGGGTCTACACAAAGTTGTAGTGAACCATCCTTCTTTTGTGTGATCACAAGGCTATTGGGGGTGGACTTAGTCACCTTTGTAATGACTCCCATAGCTTGCAGCATTTCCAGGGCAAGTTGCCTAGGGTTGCATAGGGAATTTTTCTACACGCATGCAGAACTGGTGGTACTGGTGGGTTGACGTAGGAAATTGGCCCCAACCTTCAAAAACATCCAGATATATTTTAAGAAGGTCCACCTTGGTTGCAGGTGCTGTCAGAGTCATTCCATGGGCTTGTCTGATAAGGCCTAAGGTGGTGCATGCTACCCTACCAAGTATTGGTGGGTCACTATTGTCTGTTATATAGAAAGTTAAATCAGATTCATTAGCACCAGATTTGCAGTGTGCAATGACTGCACCTTGTGGTTTGATGCCTGCACAGCCAAATGCAACCAATGTAACAGGAGCTGAAGTCTTCCATACTTTGCCTTGCAAAGCCTTTTCTACATCTGCTGGGAAAGTGTAAAGCAACTGGCAAGCCAGCAATCATGACTGTGCTATACCAGGCCTTCTGGTTATCAAAGGTCTGGCTTCTTTGCAGACATTGTGCCCATATGTAGGGTGCTGACTCCTTTTGCAGACTTTGGAGCCTCTCCCTTTGATTTGCACAGTTTTGCAAAGTGGTTCACTCTCCAGCATTTGTAACAAGTTTCTCCAAAAGCTGGGCAGGACTGAGGCTTGTGTGTGCTTCCACACCTTTTGGAGGGTCTGCCTTTGTTAGCTTGATTGCTCTCCTGTGGAGCAAACTTCACTGATGGCTTGCTTTATTTTTGCAAAGTGCTCTGGCAGCTTTGCTTTTGCTCAACTGTATGCAAGCTTGCTTCTGCAGATATAACTCAGGCCTGAGTACTTGTGAGAGCCTTTGCTTTGCAGATATCCACCCGTGCTAGGGTGAGGGAGGGATTTTCCAGAAGCTTTTCTTTGAATTTGCAGTCAGTTATCCTGAAGACAATTTTGTCCCTCAACATAACATCCTCAGCAAGTCCAAATTCACAATGCTGTGCTCTGCTTCTAAGCTCTGTAACAAAATCATCTATGCCTGCAGCCTCGTTGTATCTAAGTTGCCTGAACTCATACCTTTCCAAGACAGGTTTTTTTCTGGGTTCGCAGTAGTTCTTGAATGCTGCAAGCACCTCTGCAGGGGTTTTGTTACTAGGGTCTGCAAACACCCCTTGCATGCTGTTGTAAATTTCTAGGGCTTTATCTCCAATGCAGTGAAGCATGACTGCAATTTTATAATCCTCTTCCTCAGCCTTTGTGACTGTAAAGTATAATAGAAGCTTCTGTTCCCATCTCCTCCAATTCTCCCCAAGATTTCCAGTAAAGGATAATGCCGGGGGAAGTTTGAAATGCTCCATTTTTTTTCTTTGAATGAAAACTGTAACCCCCTTAATGAGGTTGCTGGTGGCTCCACCAAGAGCCAGGTCACTTCTGTAACCATATAAATGTTTACTCCATGGCTGTAGGTCCCAGGGATGGGGTACTCACTCAGACCTCCATGCCCTTGGGTTCTGTCTTTGAGTCACGGTTCAGCACAGACCGTTGAGGTGGTAAACAGCTTTATCTTTATTAGGAACAGGACTGAGCAACTCACGTGCTCACAGCTTGCAGGGAAACTACAACCACCCACCACCACAAACCACAGGGCATTGGGGGAGAGACTGCGTCATCCCACTGCTGGGCCCTTAAAGGTACATCCCATATACCACAACCACGAAGCGGGGCACCTGTCCAGGGGAGGAGCTACCCTTGTGGCACGCAACAGCTCACCAAAACTCGTTAAGTGATCCTCCAGCTAAAATAATTGCCCACCCTGATCTAAGGGCAGAATGTATACGGTGCCCCTTTCACATTGAAGTGTTAATGTACCCCCACTTTGTGATTCAAATAGCTGCATAAGCAGATGTGATGGGTAATGATTTGGCCCAGGGGTTTTGAAAGGGTAGGGGGTACATCTGAGGTTACGCATAAGTATATCCAGCTTCTAGTGAATATGGAATAAGCAGACAGCAAATTTGTACAGTAGCTTGCACATTTCCTCCTCTCCCTGCCTAACAGGGTCATTTGAGTTAATTATTAACACTGCATATATTTCAAGGACTTAGCCAAAATAGTAAAATTTTGTTCTCAGAGTTGATATTGTAAAAAGGTATCAAAAGATTTACCGTCTACCAGGATACACTGTTGCATTTCCTTCATTACAGTCTCTGCCTCTCCAGTGATATCCCCTCAATGTCTAAAGCCAAGAGAAGGACAAATAGAAGGCAAGGCATGTTGTTACTCTTTCTCTTTTAATTTCAAATATCTAAAATGAGAATCAAACCTAAGGTGCAGGAATAAAGCCTGGTAAATGAATTCCCTTCACTAAGCTCTAATAAATGACACTATGCTTATTCTGATCAGAGAATAAGACAAGCTGGCAATTTTAATTTTTTCACACTTGCTTTACCTTTTATTAATTCAATAAACATACTATTCAGCAGCAGAGCAATCTGATTCTGGAGACAAAGCAGCTTTAAGCCTAAATCTCCAAAAATGGTAAAAATGAATAAATCTACCTCCCCCCCCAGAAGAAAATGATCTTTTATAATAAAAACCCCTTTCATTCTATTTCTATGCTAAGTTTTGTATGAATGAATAAGGTCTGCAGAAGACAGAAGGAACTTTAGAGAGATTTTTGCTATCAAGAGATTATAACACCAAAAGGAGAATCTTTACTTACTGGGAAAGCACTAAATTTATCTCCATCAAAGTCTTCGAATGGCAACTGATTTTTTATGACACTGTAAAAAAAAAAATAGGGAAGGATTTTTTTTCCCCCCACAAACAAAAACACAGTAAAGAATTCAGAATATATAAACTGATTGCTGATAGAATATTAATTTCTAACCTGGTGTTCAGATATAGGCATTTGCATTTCTGTTTACTGAATCTCTGTGGAGGACCAAATTCTGATATCAGTTATTCTAGATGTAGTTCTGGAGGTGAGGTTATTAAAGGTATATCTGAAGTATCTGAGCCTATGCCTCTAAAACAAGTTACCAAGTCACATCTGTGGTAAGATGAGCCTAATAATTTCAGAACCACGAAAGAAGGACAGTACACTGATCTTGCAGTTTTCTCCATGGGAAGCATTCGTTAAAAGTCAACTTCCAGTATATACGTGAAAGAATGGCAGAATGGGACCGCAAGGATAAACCAAGGAACATGGAAAACAGAAGAGAACGTTTTCCTTCATTAAAAAAATAAAGGGCAAACATTTTCTCTTGTATCCTTGTGACAAATCTCTCCCTGCACACTTGTTTGGTATGGAAGAAAGAACATTTTCCATGACATTCATTTCAGTTTACATCTACCCAGTTCACCGACCGGTTTTGCTTCAGCGAATGCCCATTTTCTAAGACAAATATGGGTTTTCCACAAAGGGCCACACATGCAGAATTTGCAGCCATGCTACAGAGACCAGTGTTTGAAAAGTTACTCCGTTTTAGCCTGAGTTCCTAATTTTGTTAATAGCAGAGAAAGACCTCCATCCAATCAAAGGCCCAGTTTAGCTTCATCTTACACCCTGTGCAAACCCACTTACTTCACAGGAGCCTCAAGGAGTGTACGTCAGCACTGCTTCTTACCTTAAAGGTGTAGTTTATAGTGCCTCGGATTTTAAGGACAGAAGGAGCCATCATGATCATGTGATACTATCTTATCTACAACACGGGCAACTGAATTTCACCCTCTGATTCCAGAACCTAGCCCACTGATTTCTGGTTGAACTCAAGCATATTTTTTTAGCAAGATCGCTAATCTTTATTTAAATTCTCCAAGTGGCAGAGAATTTAATCCTCAGCCATCAGGCGGATTACCTTCACTGCTTAACAGTTATATTTTATTTCCAGTTTGAATTTTACTGACTTCAGCTTCCAGCTGTTGGATCTTAAGATGTGTACCTGAAAGTAGACGCGGAAATGACTCTCAAATGAATCAATGTGGTGTTTGCCTAGCTGGTTCAGTTTGCCATCAAGTGAGCTTTCCTTCTTCCCCTTCCATGATTAAGGGGGAATGTCATGAGAGTTTCCTTTTAGATTGCAGTAATGCAGAGTTGGCACAGGGTCTTTCTCAATTTTACTGTCACATATGCTTCAGCATTGTCCCTTTTCTCCCCCTCCCCACACACTTCCACTTCCCTGAAAATCATATGCAATCATCATTACATCCCCCCTCCCTGTGGTCTAGGGAAAACAGATCAACTCTCATGTACTGCTTAGCAGATGGTGTTCTTGGAATAGCATGCCTGGTGCCCTTCCTTTAGCAGGTTAAGCATGTGACCTTCAGAGATTCTCTGAGCTCTTGGCCCTCTGAGACTAAATCTAGGTCAAAAAGACAGGCCTGTGCTACTAGCGGAGGTGGTTTCAGGTTATTTTATCACCCAGAACTGAAAAACCAAGTCATACATATTTCAATTTGTACTTGTAATGCTGCTTTTCTCTGCACTCAGTACTTTCAATGTACTTCCTGCTTTGTGCTAGTTCAGTCTCTGTGACTAGTCTCAGTTGTAAGGAACTGGCACAGACCCAGAACAAGCTCAAAAAGGGGGAAAAAAATCTGAGGCTCTTTAAAAAGAAAGAAAGAAAGAAAAAAAGAGTTGAACATAGTTGATTTAACATGTATCTGCCAGTGTGCACATATACGTTTTGGCTTCTGTTACAGCCATTTAGCCCACGGGGTTCAATCACCGAGTATACTCGCATTTTCATATTTCTTCTGCCCTGGCTTACTGGATATGATAGACTCTCGAGAAATTTACTACAGAAATTTACCCAATTTCCAATGCTGATAGTTTGGGTTTACTTATACGAGTGGAATGTGTGGCTACACAATTTGTGCTGGAAAATCAGGTTAGTCTAAAATGCCACAAATGTTTCCCTTTGCATACTAGATAACCTCCAGCCCATAAACTCCCTACATTGACAGATATGCTCTGTTGTCTAGCAGTGCTGTTCAGTTGCCCTAGATCCTTTTCTGGGACTCTGGCTGTAAGGTCTGTGTAACTGAGTCTTTTCCTTGCCCCGGCCTTACATGTTTCTTAAAAATCTGGGGATTTACCTTTTGCTCTGCAAATGATATTTTATCCTAACTGTATTCACATGCCAGAAAGGGTATCTAGCTATTATATCCTGTGACTAAAGGTGAGTGAGTCTTTCTCTGAGAGGGGAGAAGACACCATAACTGGATGAGTGACCAAGATGGAGATGTTAAATCTGAGAGCCAAAGTGTTTCTGGCTCAGGAACATGGCAAGCTTGGATGGGGAGTGGTTGAATGCCACTACTTTAGGGCAGCGTATGTGTGCCCCCTCTCATTTTGGTATTAAAACATATTAGAAATCACTTCTGCCATCTTTCTTTCAAAGGTTAAATGCACCCTACTCTCCTTTTACAATATTGTTTCTGAAGGAAAACAGTATTTTTATCAAAAGGAGGAGGACAAAGCCCTTTTTAATCTAAGGATTATTTCTTCAGTCACTGGAAAGAAACAAGTGTGCCATATATTATTAAGGATTGGAAATATCAGACTTACTATTTAATCTTCTCACACAGCTTAACCAGTGGGGGAAGTTTACATACACTTGAAAAAACAGTTATACTTTTCTGCAGAAAGAAAACAGTGCTTTAGTTCAGATAGGTCAAATTCTTTCTCCCTTCTCATGGTAATTAATGTCAGTGAAATGAAAAGTACATCACATACTTGCTTCCCCATAACATTTGAAAGCCCCATAGACTTGATTAAAGATGTTATATAGCTAAGGACAAAATTTAAACTTGACAAAGAATTCAACTCAAGGGCTGCAAATGATCGTAGATTCATAAAATTAAAAGAGATAAAGATTTCCCTGGGGAATATCTCTATCATTACCAGGATTCTTCACTTGTAAAACATGGCCTTTCCTACTGTTTACTGTGTCTTGCACAAGACCAGAGAAAATATGCACTAGGAATTCTGGATTTTCTCACTGAACATAGAGGCTGGACCCTGCATGCTCAGACACAGTTTTGAGTGAGCAAGTAATATAATATCAGGCTCAATCAGGGGTTGATTTATGGGACTGGATACGTGCAGGATACTTCCCTTAATTTTTAGTGAGATTTTTTTTAGCTGGAATCCTACAGCAAGGTTTTATATGTGCCCTGTTTACAATTTGTAGAAGTGTGTGGGAAAGTAAGTAATAAAGGTGGTGGTTTAAAAATTCAGCAAGTGGAGGCTGGCTCAGTGTGCTAAGCGGGGGCAAGTATTTGTCCCAAGGAGATGTCAAGAGAATAAAATTGAGTTTAGTTTGGATGGAAAATAGTTTGGAGAAGAAAGGGTAACCAGAATAAGGATGGTAGTAAAATTTGTGATTGTGAATGACATTACCTAGTGATAAGAAATATATGAAGAAAAGAAGGGGACCAAGGACTTATGGAACTCCCCTTGAGAGGACATGCTGAAGGGCTAATTAGAGGTAAGGGGAGAACTGAGAAAGGACAGAAGTCAAGGGTAGACGAGATTTCAAGTAAAATATGGCTAAGGTTTGAGTCATCACAAAGGAAGGTAGTTAGGGAGTTGTAGGAGCAGAAGAGAGAATTGCAAGGTATATTGTCCATTTTCTCATGGAAGAAATCATAGAAAACCTCTGTGTGGAGGGCCAGTGGCCAGAGGAGGGAGTTAAAGGTGGTAAAAACCTGGCTAGGACTGATGATCTGGATTAAGAGAAGTAGCAGGGGAAGCAAGTGTTGGTGGTGACAGAGGCCTATGGTTTTGTCAAGGCAGCCCATGCCATGGGAGAAAGGACACAAGAGTTAACAGTGGAGAGGATGTTTACCCCCTTGTTGAGGGAGTCTGACTGGTGAATTCACAACCAAAATCAATCAATCCCACCCCTCTTTAATCACAGCTCTAGTAATTTGAGTTCTGCAGCACTTAGGGTGCCTGTACACACCACTAGGCTTAATCCTCATTAAATTAAATAGGTTTATAAAATTTAAAGCTGTTTATTTCAGAGCATCACATCAGTGTTTCCACATACTAGGTTTTTGAATGAAGTAAGCTTTAGAGCATCATATCAGTGTTTGCATGTACTAGATTTTCAAACGAATTAAGTCCAGTCTCCAGACGGAGCCACAGGACAGTGGGGCGGTCCAGTGCTGCTTCCCTCCCCCACCCCTGGCCCAGGGTTCCCTGCCCTGTACCCTGCTACAGAGCTGTGGAAGCAGGGAGCTGGCACATGATACAAGAAAAAAAAAGTGGCAGCAATTCAAAAATACAACCAATTCCAAGGGGTGAACTACAAAAAAGTGAAAGCGCCAGATGGTGGACAAAGATGCTCATTACACATCTTTTAGTGCCTTTGTATTTGCATGCAACAAATCTATGGACGCAATGCTTTAATTTGTGGTGAGCCAAAATAAATTACATCTGAGGAGTTTTACTTTCACGCACCAGAAAGGCTCTTAAAGCATCCAGAAAATCTGCTTGTATAAACAGTCACACCAGTGTAGTGCAAGAAAGGGCAAAAAACCTGGCATATACAAATGCCTGTACAGGACACAAGTCCCTTTCATAAGCTTTCAGGATCCTCTCAATCAAGATCTCAAGCTACAGTAGGGTAAAAATACATTCATTCTACTGTGCCGAGGATGCAGCTTGATGGGGACTGGGGTAAAATAAAGGATTGTCCAGGCCATAGTACATACCATGCCATAGTGTGATATGCGTAAATCATGGATGTTAAACATATGGCCCATGGGCTGGATCTGGCTCCCAGAGCACCCCCATCTGGCCCCAAGAGTCCTACCATCCAGGCTCCAGTGCTGCCGCTGGGTCTGATCAGACCCACATGGGACATGGCATGCACCCAGATTTGACCCATAGGACCCCTTCCCCTCCCCTTTCCCCTCCAACAGCATCCCTGATCTGGAGGCTGCTCCAGCTGAACTGGGACCTGTGCTGCATGTGGCACAGATCTCAGAGCTGCTGGAATGGGCCCTGTATGACACAGTCCAGCTGGAGTGACCACTAGAGGTGTGTGAAGTGGGCTCTATTCGATTCAGATTCAGAACCAGGGACAGTGATTTGATTTGTTGATGTGGATCACTGTCCCTGATTCAATTTGGCTGAATCTAAACCTGAAGATTAGATGGTGATTCAGAGAATCAGCGATTTGGACACAGACACAGCTTCAAAAGTTTTTTCTACATACCTTGAGGTACCAGCGTGGGTTGTGAATGCTGCAATGCTGGGGCGGATGGAGTGTCCCACAGGAGTGCGGGGGGCAGGGGAGGCTCCATGTGCTTGGCAGCGAACTCAAAACTGAACTGGAAGTACTTCCGGTCCACTTCCGCTCCCCGGCAGACCCGGAACTGGACCAGAAGTGCTTCTGGCCCACTACTGGATCTGTTGCTGAGCGTGCTGGGGAGCCCCTGCACTCCTGTGGGACACTCCATGAGCCCCAGCATTGCAGCATTCACAAGCCGCCTGCTATCTAGAGGTATATAGAAAAAACATTGAAAGCTGTGTCTATGTCCGAATCTCCGAATCTTTCCGAATCTCTCTGAATTGATTCGGAAGGTTCCAATTCAATTCAGAGAGATTAAAGGGTCCTCTGATTCTATTTGGATTCAGAGATTCAGCCACCAAATTGGGCCAAATCTCTTTCAGATCAAATCAGGGACTGATGCTTTGCACAGCCCTAGTGACCATCATGTACAGCACAGCTGCTACTCTGGGATCTGTGCTGCATGCAGTACAGGTCCAGACTGGCTGGAGCAACCACTAGATCAGGTATGCTGTGGCAAGGAAGGAGGAAGAGGTTCATGGGCCCAATCCAGCATGCAGATCAGCTCCATGCCACTCATCCAGTCTGTAGGGCTGAAGAAGTTTGAAACCCCTGGTATAAATAATGTATAATGAACAGGGTGCTGTGACATACTCTCTCACTTGCTATTGAAGTAGTAATAATGAAGTGGACAAAGGCTCAGTTCTGTCCCACAAGTTAGTATACTCAATTGTTCTGAACAGTTCTAGAGGTATGAATATGTTGTGTTAAGTTTTAATAATAAGTCTTTGCAAAAACATATTCTACTTTTAAAATGATTTCCCCCTTCAAGTCAAGATTTTTAACGTCTTAAGTCTTGTGGCACCTTCACTCAAGCTGTCAGCTTTTCAACATTAGCCTAAGTCAGGATGTTCTGCAGTATGGAAAGCCTTTGAAGTTAACACAGTCTGATCCAAAGCTATTCTGAATAGGCAATCCAGTGCTTCAAATAAACAAATAAATAAATAAATACTGCTTTTATTCTACTCACAGGCAAATTTAATTCTAAACTTAGCTGTAAGTAGAATAAAAGCTCTTTGGATCATAGAAAAGTAGGGCTGGAAGGGACTTTCAGAGGTCATCTAGTCCAATCCCCTGCCAGAGGCAGCATCATCCCTACCCACACCATCTTATACCCACCCATTGTCTAACTTAGCAGTAAAACTACACAGCCAACCCTGACACAACCACAAGGTATAACATCCTAATCTGCCACAGGTAAAGCAGTGGAACAACAGTGGTCAATGTGCTGATGCCACAAGAGATACACTTGAGGGATCCAAGGAAGAGGGCCACATCCCTCAGTCTGCTCCAGTCTGACCATGGGTTAAAATTCTGTTTAGATCCCAAATATAGCAACTGGTTTAACCCTGCCTCCGGACCTGCTTTAACTTCTCCAAGTATTATTTAAAATTTAGAGCCCAAGACTGCACACAATGCTCTAGATGAGACCTAACCAGTGCTGACTGAAGAGGCACTATCACCTCCTGTATCTTGTACCTAATGCTTCTATTAATGCTTGCACCTAATGCTTAAAAACTGCATTTGTTTTTTGTGCCGCTGTGTCATACTGTAGATTTATGTTGAGTCTGTGATCCGCTGAGACTTCTAGATCCTTCTCCACAGTGCTGTCATCAAGACAGGTGTCACCCATTCTGTATTTGTGCTTTTGATGATTCTTTCTGAGGTGCGGCACCTTGCATCTATCAGCATTGAACTTCACTCTGTTGGCTCCTGCCCAACTTTCCAACCTGTCATGGTCTTTCTGAATTGTGTTCCTGTTCTTCAGTGCATTGGCAGTCTCTCCCAGTTTCATGTCATCTTTAAAACTGCTCAAGAAGCTTTCTATGCCAGCATCTAAATCATGAATAGATTAATTGAACAGCACTGGGCCCAGGACAGATCCCTGTGGAACTCCGCTCTAAACTTCCTGCCATTCTGGTTTGGATCCATTTATACTTTTTGCTTACAGATATTGATCCAACTCATAGTATTTTAATTTAGTTCACCCCATCTCCAATTTGTTTATAAGGTCATGTGGGTCTTTGTCAAAAACCTTGCCGAAGTCCAGTGTGCTATATCCACTGTATTCCCTTCATCCACCCAAATAGTTATTTTGTTGAAGGAGAGCAAGTTTGTTTGGTGCAATTTGTTCTTTTTAAATCCATGGTGGCTGCTTGTGATCAGCCTTTCAACATCTACATACTTGCAAACAGACTTCCTTATAATATGCTCCAGTAACCTCTTGGATATTGAGGTGAAGCTGACCAGTATATAGTTTCCTGGGTCCGCCTTTTT